ACGTAAGGCCATTCACACGCGCACGTCGTGCCCTTGTTCTCTTGGTGCCCACCCGCAAAAGGAAGCAGGAGCAGCGTTCATCTTGAAACTTGACACATTTCCGCTGTGCGTAGTGTTGCAAATTTTGACAGACGTAATCATGAACATCTCATCTACGCATTGCGCATGTCAGCTCGAAATTGTCATACTTGGTGAGTGACCCTTTAAAATAAACCTTGTCTGGTGCTCTGAAGCGACCAAACAATACACGCACTTCCCACTGTGATCGAGATTCGCTTGAGGCCGGCAAACGAGAAGCGGCACACCGGGAGCCATTAGGAAAAGCTGCAACAGAAATGAGTTGTGGATACATACATACATACATACATACATACATACATACATACATACATACATACATACATACATACATACATACATACATACATACATACATACATACATACATACATACATATATACATACATACATACATACATACATACATACATACAAACATACACACACACATACGTACGTACATACATACATACATACATACATACATACATACATACATACATACATACATACATACATACATACATACCTACATACATACATACATACATACATACATACATACATACATACATACATACATACATACATACATACATACATACATACATACATACATACGCACGCACGCACGCACGCACGCCGAACTAGACAGAAGTGAGGGTGAATCGGTTGAAAGCTAGTGCACTGGTTAAAATTTCAGTACACAAACCAATGCACGCGAGGTCTTTTTTTTCAATGCTTGGCCGCGTCATGCGATAGCATGTTTCATTTGTTTGTTTGTTTGTTTGTTTGTTTGTTTGTTTGTTTGTCTGTCTGTCTGTCTGTCTGTCTGTCGGTCTGTCTGTCTGTCTGTCTGTCTGCCTGTTTGTTACTGTCGTGGGCGCATCCAATTAGGCGAGCGTTAGTTTCCGAGTGCTGTGGGGCCCTTTAGGCAGCCAACAGGCTGACGAGGACGGAGAACTCAAGGCAGCCCGAGTATGTACCTTGGGGCATTACATTATTCAGCCCCTCATAGGGGGCTTTTTGGTTGTCATCGCACTTCATAATCACTGCAGGAATTGCTCAAACATTACCGTAGGAGGCATAGGATCAGGTGGAAAAAGCGTGATCAAACAACAACGGTCAATTTTAATGGCGGTCGCACGAGAGAAAATTTGGCTCGTCTAGCTGACTTCCTCCAAGTTCTCGTCATCATCCGCGCAATCCCTGAACAGGCGTGGCCATCCTTTTTTCTCTGCGCCTGCGCAAAAGGGGGGAAAGAAGCGAAGAATTGGTGGTGGTGGGGACTTTAGTGAACTAGAACAATGGGTGTTGACTATAGTGCACCAGTAGTGAACTAGAATTGATTGATATGTGGGCTTTAACGCCCTAAAACCATCATATTATTATGAGAGTCGCCGTAGTGGAGGGCTCCGGAAACGTCGACCACCTGTGGTTCTTTATTGTGCTCCCAAATCTGAGCACATTGGCTTAAAGCATTTTAAACTTCATAGGAAATGCAGCCGCCACAGCTGAGATTCGATCCCGCGACCTGCGGGTCAGCAGCGGATCTAGTGAACTAGAACTTCTAGTTCACTACAGTGGTGACCAAAATGGGCTCGTATACAGACAAGCCTTTTCCAGTGATAAACCTAAGAGGGAGATGGAAACGTACATATGTTAGGAATCCGCAGGTATTGATGTGTTTTGAAAGTTAGGCAACTACATTGAAACAACGAGCTGGGCGAATTGGTAGTCAAACATACTTCTGGAAATGAAACGTTTTAAGCAAAGCCAGATTCCTATGAATCTGTGCAATAGGGGAGTGCAAATTTTACTGATGTAATCAAATGACACCCTATGACGACATGCACGCGCCATTGAATCATTTTAAAGCGATGGCGTTAAAGAGCTCGTTTCGCAGAAATGCCAACGTCGGCGGCGCTGTCATGTGTTGTGAGCGAAAAATCATCATCTTGTGCGTGACCAAAAAATTGAGAAAGATGCAAATGAAGTAAATATTAAAATATTCTGGGTGGGGATCAAGCCCACGTCGTTTTGGTGGCAAGCGGGTGTTATACCACAGAGCCACACGTCAGCTCGGAAACACACTATGCAGTGAGTGTAACTTACAGGCTTTACAAACGGACGCGTTTTGTACACATGCTACACTCGGGCATCAGAACATGTGACTATATATCATGACTTAGTGGCTTAAAGCGGGACACCAGTATGAACATACGTTACTGCGCATTTTCCCTTAAGGCCACGTTGTAGGTGCATAGCAAGCTCGAAACATTTCAAGCGCGCAATCACCCGTGGTTTGAAACATGCTACCCAACGAAGCCTTATGCGAAAGCTTCACTGACCTACGCAATTTTAAACTCTGCACGCAGTAGAGACAGGAGGTTGCAATCGCGTTCAACTCTTAAAGGCGTAGCTCTAGGACCCCTAATTTTTCCGTGCTTAATAACCACACGTGTGAAAGAAACAAAAACAGTAGTCGGTGAACTTATGCGCATAGTCCGTTCCTCATAGTCCGAGTCGCATTGCCCACACAGCAAAGGATATGTTAGGCGACTACTCTGACGTCTGCTTTCGGGTTGCTAAAGTCTTGAATAACATCGTTTGATAGCTGCAGGCGGTAACTTGATTTGCCAACACCTCCGTTTCTACTCCTCTGCCGGCGACACACGTTAGCGCGAGAGCATTCCGAACAAGTAGCCATTCCGATACCTGTTGACGATGCTCCAGTTCGTGGTGTGCCAACAACGCCCCTGAAAAAATAAACAGAGCAACACACCAGAGCCTTTTATACTTGAAGACATATGCAATCATTACAATTCACCATCATCCCTGCCCTACTAAATCGAATGCTTCTAAACGATCCTATAGCTAAAAGAACTCAAGATAAAAGCAACTATTTGAATAAATCAGCCTCATCTGTCTTGTACAAACCTGCTTGTGGCCTAATATGTCCCCTACGTATACGTGCACGCAGTGAAACAGTCTATTGTAGCTAACCGCACCGCAACAAGTACGAGCATGATATTATTCGTGCTCTTTAGAAGCAAAGCTCCTTCAGGCGTGGGCTGAGCGTCCCGTCGTAATCGTATGTAGCCACCTCTCGTCAGTTCTTGAACCGGCCGTACAGAGGGCGGTACCTGTACATATAACAAAATGCATGTACGCTGAAAAATGCAAATAATACATTTCTAGAGGACGTTACTTGTAGTATGATAAATAATAAAAATTACAGATTATCCATGGAGTGAAGGGTGATGAGTGGGGCAAAACGTCCATCAGTCCGTCCGCACTTCCGTCTGTCTGTTAGTTCTTGCTTCCGTCCATCTGTGCGTCCGTCCATCCGCGCGTCCGCCGGCTCGCACGTGCGTCCATCAATTCGTACATCCGTCCGTTCGTGTGGCCGTGCTCTCGTTCGTTTATCTGTGCGTCCACCTCTGCGTTTGTCCATCCGTCCGTGCGTCCGTCCCTGCGTTCGTCCATGCGTCCATCTCTGCATTCGTCCATGCATCCGTCCGAGCATCCGTCCTGCGTTCGCCCATGCGTCCGTCCCTGGATTCGTCCGTGCGTCTGTGAGTCTGTTCATGCGTCCATCCGTGCGTCAGACAGACAAACAGCCAGACAGACGACGGATGGACGTGGCCAGCGGATGATTAACGGTTTTCCAATAAAAAGTATGATACGCGCAAAGCGGCAGCGGTTCGCGCTCGAAGACCGAATTCCGATGTGGGAGCGCGCGAGAAAGTAGGAATGACGTCACACAAGAACGTTGGCGATCACGTCTTCATCGGTGGCGTGGCGTAGTGAAATAAAAGCCGTTCTGGCACGCGAACGCATTCAGAAGGTCAGTGGATAGACAAGGCTGCAGAGCGGCGTGCGCGCAAGGTGGCGGCGGCGGCTCGCATTCGAACACGCAACCCCGATGTGCGAGCGCGCGAGGCAGAAGCGTGCCGTGAAGCTGGGCGGCAGCGCCGACAAGATCCCGGCGTACGAGATGGGGAGGCCGAAGTGCTGCGGCAGCGGAGGGCGGACCCAGCTTCGCCCCGCTCTCCATCATTCACCGCGTGGATATGCTGTCATTTTTTTTTCATGCTATGGTGCGTCTAAACTGCGTAATTGTTGCCGATAACATGTTCCTGGCCCTGAATCTGCGATAATAGTAAACTGAAGATTACAATTGTGGCGCAATACTTGAGGCACTTTAATGCGTGATATGAAAATGCCCGAGTTTTTTTTTATTTGCTGTGCCGGCGCAGACTTGCTTTGCTGCAAGGCACTTTGCTAATCAGCACTTTCTTAGAATTCAATTAACCGATTAACATAACCTAAAACTTTACACATTGCATCTCATTAGCACTTCGTTACTCGATCTCTAAAGTTTTTATATTTCCTATGGTCAGTTTCAACTATAGTACTGCATCATTCCAGTACTACAGCGGACTCTTCAATACAACAGTTTTTACACGTTTTTTTTCCCTTAACTACCCCGTATTTCCGAAGGCTATCAACCTGACGTATCTCATTAATTGACTGCGTGAGGTTTTCTATATCAGTTCTCAACTCTAACATTCTCCGTAAGCCAATGTTGCTGTATAGTGCGCTTGTCCTTCTCTTTTTCCTGTCCGTGCTTTATACCACGTAGTACACTTAAATCATATATCACCAACTGGCCCAATTGTACACTTTGATAGTGCAAAACAATCATCGCTAAGCTATCATAACAAGCGCGCCTTATACGGCGTTATTCCATAAGCTATCATGCGCTAACAACAAGAGATGTCAAGTTTCAGCATTAAAATATGGTTGTCCAAACAATCGTTTCGACAGTGCGTTCTAGGCACGTTTTCGAGTGAGCAGCCGTCCCGGTGTTCCTATACTTTTCTTTCTTTAGTTTAAAGTTTTCTTGTCGTTGAGGGCAAGAGGTAAAATCTGCTCACGTGGCAAGTCTTTGGTCGCCAGCATTGAGAACTGAAGTCTCGACTTTCTCCTGAAAAGGATGTAAAGAAACAAACAATATCACATTTTATTGTCTTACCTGCCGCGGCAGGGCTCTCCATAAGGTTATAACCTCTGTTATAGAGCGTATATAAGAATAACAATACATATTATACTTCTATCAATGCAACGTTCATGCAGGGGAGCGAGCATAAAACCAGCTTGAGAGCCATGTCGCCCACGCTTGTGCTATTATACATCAGGCGGAGGTGGCAGTTGCAATAGAACATATACAAGAATTGATTACTTAATCGTTCTAACAAATACGAAATAGGCATATAAGCAAGCTACATAGTACTTAGCGCACATGCATATACGTAATTCAGGTTGTACATATATACAAAGAAAGTGGCCACCAATGAAACTTCGAGAAAGGTTTCAATAAAAGTTCTTTGTGCTCATAGAAAAGTTAAGTGCTATTGAGCTCTTCTATAAATGTCTTGCACCCTGTTTCTTTGCAATAATTTAAACATTTGGCAGTTTGTTGCAAGACTTATGGATCCCGGCCATGCGCTGTTCCGGCGGACGCCCAGAAATATTTCCGCCCGAAAGACTGCCGTGAATCAATGCAGCAGCGTTCAGAATCCCCTCCTCAGAGAATATGCGGAGGTCGCTGGTGTCAGTCAAGTGCCATTAGATGACGAGAGGAACAGAGTTCAGCTATTTTTTACAATGCTGCCTACGAATTGTGCGACTATATGTAAAGTTATAATGAAGTTAAGGGCTAGGTTTGAGTTTTAATGGCTTTTTTTGTCACATTTATAAACTAACCGGAGACCAACTTCTAATTCATTACATTTATATTGTAATCAAAGGGCGCCTCTATTACATTTCACGTTAATTTATTTCTTTATTTTTAGAGCACTACTAGCCCTAAGAAAGCTGTGGGCAAGAGTGGGTGGCGATACAAAATTAAAATACGTACAGACGCGTCCACAGTTAAAGGGAACAGCTACATGCACAGCGTGTTTAAGTTTATCTATCTTACAGAAGCATAGTGGCTTTGATTTGCCTAAAACTGGGGGTGGTAGAAAGTTCTGACTCTTCTTGACAGATTAGTGATGCGCATGAAAATTGTTCCCTTATCCACTTGCTTTGAGAGGGAGAGCAATATTGATGGAGTTCATTCGAGTGTTTCCTTTAACAGTGAACCGTACTATACATACTACGCAAAACAATAACGGTACACATGCTACGCGCTGGGAGTACTTTTGTATAGCAATAATACCAACATTTACAACAATAATTACAATAGTACACAACTACACTCTGGCACTATTTGCTATATGCTACAAATACATATGGTAAACGGGATAAAAAAGAAAAATCCTATAGGACACTTATTGTTCAAAGTACAAAAAACCTCATGGCATATCCACGAAGCGAATGATGATGAGTGGGCAAAGCACTGAGATCGTCCAGTGTTACCTTAAATCACCCGTGACATTGACCACTCATGCATGTAAATGAGTGACAAAGCAGTGTACAGTTATACGCAATGTTTATTGGTCGTAAATTGTACGTTGTATTGAATTGTGAATTTTGTTTTGCTTTCGTTGTTACTGCTTTGTAACATCGGACCCGGCCTGACATTGGCACAGACAAGGTCTGCGAACGTTCCACTGGTGCCTGTTGCTATTTCCAGTCATACGAAATGCATCGTACAGATTATACTTGACGCATACGAATGAACATTGACGAAAAAAAACTATTATATCCTTACTCATACATACAACCAATGAACGTTAAGGGCCCGAAGGGAATATTCTGTAGTCATGCGTTACACGACGTTGATTGGGAGCTCATTTCCTTACATTGCTGCTCGCGGGAGACATGTATTATGAAATGTTCGACAGCAATAATATCGCAGTTTAATAGCGAAGCTGTTACTCAATAGTTGACATGTCCGGACTGTTTCGTATTGTAGTGATGGGGTTATGCTTGGTAGGAACATGCAGGCTGTGTCGTGGTGAGAGAGGCGAGGGTGGAAGTTGTCGAGGTGTGGTTCTTTGAAGGAAAGTAGTAGTGAAAAACTTTATTGGGGGAGTGAGTTTGGGTCCTTTACGGACCCTTGGTCACAGCACGATCATCACGTACCGAATGTTTGTCCAGACCATGCAGAGCCAGTGCCCTGGCTCTGTGTGGTGTTAAGAATTGCTGTTCTGGAATCCCTAAGTACGTAAGTGACGTTGGTTTTGGCGATTACTACGCTATAGCGGCTTCCTCTGCTTCCTCCAGGTACAGGAGGGTCGAAGAAGTGGGTGAGGGGAGGGGGGCTGCAGGATAATAAGCTACTACTACAGAACTGTCTAGACCACACGTGGTGTCTACCAAGCGCACATCCTCTGAAGTGCCATATTCCTTATGAAGAATTGCTGCTCACGCTGCGTGGCGGGATTTGTGGTATTCTGGGTGGACGTTTGTCGCCAACGAGCCCTCAAAAAAAGGGGCGCGCTGGCGACCAAGCGCCAAAGAGGCGCCTCAAGGTCAACGATAAAGGAAAAAACAAGCATCCAAAGACTCCCCGGGTGCGCCGTCTCTCTCCCCCCTCGGAAGCGTAGTTTCGCTGACCAACCTCCTCAAATCGTCGGCTGAGCAAGCCCTGGAAGGTTCTCGAAGGAAAGGGGCATGATGATGCAGTGTTGCGTCACATGTCGCGGACGGCCCTCGAAACATTTCGCTCTTTCCCCCGGCCTTGGCTGTGCATTACGTCGACGAAACGATTAGAATTTTCTAGAATCTGGAGGTGGTTGTGGTTGTAAGGAAGACGAGAAAGGCACCTAATTTCTGTCTGCCTGAGCGGCGACACGGTGCAGTGCCTTATAGGGGTGGGGGGAAGGAGGGATAAAAAGAATAGAAGGAAATAGATGAAGAGATAGAGAGGCAAGCGACGGAAAGAGAAAGAGATGGGAAAGTGGGGATCTAGTCGAAGCAGTCCAAGGGCGGGGAACTACAATGCGAGAGCTGCACGGCGTCAGGAGACCGCGGAGGGCGAACCAGTCGGCGGGAGCTACGCTGGCGTCGGAGATCACGAGGGCACGACCGTCCAGCTTGAAATCCTCCGAGCTAATCTTTCTAGAATCTAGCACGGAATGTATTTAAGCAAGCAGCGGAGAAGGGAAATGAGGAGAAGAAGAAAGTTTGCGCCCGTGTGCGTAGGCAGGAGAAGAAAGTTTTGCGCAAGTGTGCGTAAAGTCTTTCCGCGGTATCGTGTCGGCGAAGGCTTTGTCCTTAATGACAAGGCAGGTGATGAAGAGGGTTTCTACCTGAAGGGTGAAGGCTGGTGCTACCAGCAGAATAATAGTTAGAGACTACCGCCAGAGAGCGAAGACGCGTCCTGCAATCGCTACGCGTGGGAAGCCGACGTGTTACCGGCGAGGAAGTTTGGTGCTTGGAAAGCGGCCAATTGAAGACGCGAGGTTTCCTGGAAGTGAGACTTCGGGGGCAGCGGAACGACAACAGCGCTGGACTTTGAGTGAATGATTCTTGGAAGAGGAGTATCATTCAGACTTTGTTCTAAGGACTTTGGACTGAATAAGTTTTCGAACTCTTTAGTCTTTAAGTGCCTTGGTTGTTCGATACATGTGATTGAATTGTAGCGCGTATTGTTGTTTGAGTCCGTTGTTTCGAGTGTAGCTGATCGTACTGTGTAGCACGTTGTTGGATTGTTGACATATCGTATTCAACTATTGTCGAGTGTGCATATTTGTGTATCGTTTGATCTGCCATATTCGAGAATATAATTTTGTTTTGTCTATCAACTCTCGGCTATGACTCGTTCTTTGGGCCACAGCCAGTGTGTGCTGGCGCGCCAAATAGGCTCACTTCTAAATTGTCCATGCTTTCATGGGGCAGTTCGGGGCGCCGGTACTCTGGCCCTTGGAATTAGCCCGGCAATCGCCTCCCTAATTAACGGGATTTGTGACAACATTCTTGGGGAGAGGTTTAACAATAAGTGCGGCCCACGTGTCGCGAAGGAGCGAGGCTAATTTTCTTGTATGTGCAGGTATACGAATGCCAAATGAATCTCGTAATCATATTGTTCTTTTCGAACGTGAAACACCGGATATTATTACTACGTGATCGCTGCAACGTTTCCAAGGTGCAATACGAACAGTCGACCAAGCCATCCTCGTAATACTTACTTGCGTGTAGACACTAGTGCATGAGCCAGGTGTGTGAAACGATAGGTAGAGGCGCGCGAACCCAGACTATAGGCATGTACATTGTAGAATAATTGCTAGCGCAGCGAATTCGATACGGACAGAAGAAAAGAACACGGCACTGAAGATAGGGCAGTGTTTCAGGACTTCGTAAAACAAAAATACCCAGCGACGCGCAGTCATCTGTCTGCCGTTCAGCGCTTAGCGGAACCACTCGCAGAATCCTCACCCCGGACTTCTTGATATGGGCATCTTCGCCGACGGTGTTTACGGCACCCATTGGAGGCCTTGTCGACCGGTTGAGCAGCTGCGACTCGATCGATTGCACCAGGTCGGTGATGCGCGTCTGCGGTAGAGACAACTTGGCCCTGCCAGCGGGAGGGTGTGTCTTGGACGCCGCCGACGAGTACCTGCTGCTTGTGGCACAGGTCGGTGTTCGCTTCCGGCTACCCACGATGCAATCGTCATCGTCGCTGCTGCCAGGCAATGACGTAATACATTTTAAAAGTCTACAATCAAAACCTGACATTCTTCGGGCAACGTATCACTACGTGATTTACAGCTTCAACTTATCCTATGTACGAAAGAATAAATGATTAAATGTGTACAAGCGCTTTATCCAGACGTCATAAGTCGTCGATTCAAATGGTACAGATTCATTTTATTCTTATATGTATCGTTAACACTATCTGTGCATGTACATCAACTACATTCATCTAGAATACCTCATGCAGCAACGCGAAGTGCACTCGCGAAATTCGGACATGTAACGGCTACAACCGTACTGCACTCTGGGCCTCGATATTGTGTCCCAACCATCTTTGATCTCCGAATACATTAACATGTTCTATAAAACGCCGATTAAAAGTATACACTACACAGACTTTGCAGAACAGATACAATACACATATACACAGTAAGAACTGTACCTCAAATAACAGTCTTTACCGCAATTCAAAACAGAAAGCGTTGCAACTTGGCGATTCGACACACGCACGCCATGCTAGCAGCAACAGAAATGATTATCAATTGGTTGAGTGATATGGAACTATTGTCGGCTTTAGTAATTCAACGCGTGCTATGCTGTGTTAGGGCATATCCGCATTGTTTACCGCAAGACGAGACAGTGCACGCTGATGGTGTTCTAAGTAGTTCTTACTTGTGTCCTAGTCTTTTCAGGCAGTGTAATTACGTTTAATGACCGCAATCAAAAAGTGTTGCAGGGCCCGTTTAAGGTTACGGTATTACTGCATGAGCATTAAAGAAGAAAAAAAATTTTTGCGCATTAGTAAAGCAGAATTCCGTAATTCCAAACACGCTCCTCCTACCGCTAGACGGCTCTTGGTAAGCGAGCAAACGCACGAAAACGAAATGTGGATAGAGACGCCACCTTGAGATCCCCACCAAACAACGTGATGACATAGATTTTAAAAGCATCTACTGGGTCCCACGTAGTTCGTGATCGGTGAAAATGAAGTACTTTGTCATCCGTGGAGACCATAGACCTGATGTACCACGTTCCGTTGAATTTAATCCCGCCAATGTCGAGAAATTACGAAAAATAAATGTTGAAATAGTGACGTCACGTGCGGAGATGTCGGCGCGAAATTTAAGAATGAAACTTGAGCCTCAATTTTCTCCTCCAATAACGAACAAATGACGACGAAAACTACGACTTCAGAGTTACCAGGGTAAAGCTTAGCAGGGTAAACCAAGTCATTCTTTCTCTTTTGTCTCCTGTTAAAGGTGCTCTGAAGTTATGCTGTTAAACACGATTCCTACTGCCTCAGATGGGTTTCGCGTGTTAGGGCTGTTCCATGCGCTAGCCGCACAGCCGCGACGCACGTGCCGGCACACCTGCCGCCCCCAAGCGGAGGGTGAAAGAGCGTCGCCGATTGGCAGGGGTCCCGGCACGTGCGTTGCGGCTGTGCGGGTAGCACGTGGAATGGCCCTTACGCGTGTTGCTAAAGACTCCTGTCCCGATGCCGCACCTGGAGATGAGAGGCTTGATCAGATCGCGCGACGTGGCGATCGAAGAAGGCTGACGAGAGCGGACTGCGCGTGCCAGGAAGCGGCGGGGCCTGCGCTGTCCGCTGCTGCAGCTGCTGAGACGAGCTGGCGTAGCGCTGAAGCGGCCGCTGCTCACGGGTCCCTCGCCCCTACTTGGAGAGGCCGCCGAGCTGGCTGGTGTCTCACACCTACTGCGGACAAAGTTGCAGCAAATGCAAAATTAGGAAACTAAAGGGGAAATGTCTAGCTATAACGAGCATTCAGTCAGTCGATCTGGCCTGCCTTTGCTTTGACGTTTCAGCGGGCAACAACAACACAGGCTGTAGTTGCACAGCCTGTGGTCTATCCCAGTGACCATGAATTCAGCCAGTCGTTCGCTCGAAGCGCGCAACAGACAGCCCAGCCGGTGCACTATTCATGGCAGGTCATAGCAATCAAGCTCTGTCGAAACAACCGCCAAATAGCCTCTAAGGCATAAAGAGGTCGAAATTTAGTGGCGGCATTGTAGTTTTGGACAAGTCTACAGCAAACGCTAGCGGTGTTACACGGCTAGTAATAGCGATAAAGAACAGGTGATCGAAGCAGCCGTTTGAGCCCCTTTAGAGGCCGACTAGCACTCTCATCCAGCATGCTCATAAATACCAAATGACGTGACTACCACTGCAGGCCTGCTGGTAAGAGCATAGGGCGGACAGTCCAAAGGATGCAGCTTCGATCCCTGCCAGGTCAATGTTGTCTTTTTTTGCGATTGACTTTCTTCACATATATATTGCAGTTTTACAATACACTTCAAACAGGACAAATAACCTCCCCAATGCCATCCTTGGCATCAGTATCCACAGGCTTTCATTATTTCGTGTAAAACAAAGAAATGAGCCCTTAAAATTTTCTACCTTATTCAGAGAGTGAGAGCCGCTCATGCTACCAACAGGAACACACGAAAACATCCCAGTGGCCACTCACTTGAAGGCAAAGCCCTCCTTAGGAGTGTCCGTGTTCGGAATGCTTGACGGCGGTATGGCCACCTTGGAGCTACCTGCAAAAGAGACAGATGACCGCAGAAACACTCGGTGCTGTCTCAGACTCAAACATAGCACGCGTCCTTTCACATACTGTGCTCTGTATTTATTTACGTGCCCATGAAAGTGTAACAGTAGCAAGGCAGCGTCCCAGAACCGCGGGCTTAAGTTCTTTTCATGTTATTCTATCGTTATCATCCTTGGTGCAGAGTGGAGGATCCTGTGCTGTCGTGTGTGCTCCTTTTTCGTGCTTTGCCGTTACGTTCGCGCATCATAAGAGCTACTGGCACTGTATACATCGGGGTGTCTGTCTGAAAGGAATGAACGGCGATTTTTCTATAACATTTTTGAAAGTGCGCACGATTTGCTTATCTTTTCTTTTCAGCACATACCTTTTAATTGCATCTTCCTGTATATATCTTCCCTTTCTGTTTACTTCATTAATGAGCTTTTAAAAGACTTTGAGCTTTACCTAGACGATGTACAGGAGGGCGGGGGTCAAAAGTTCCCAGGCCCCGCCGCACCAAAGGAATACGTGCATGGGAACTTTTGACGAGCCCCGTAGATTTATTATTCATTAGGTTCCCAACCACGTGGAATATTTGTTTTGTTTCGAAATATACCTTCCGCAAATGAACATCCTATACCTTCAAGTGTGATTTTTGATAATTAGCATCTATGTTTATAAAAAAGAAGAGTATGCCTAGTTAGAGCTGTACATACTGAATTGCGGAAATTGTTATAAAATCATATCGACGTGATCGTAGCGGTACGAAACAGCACGGGTGCGCAGAAAAAGAAAAGGGGTAAAACAACCTATGAGCGCCACGCGGGAGAGCTTAAACAGCTGCAAGCACTTTTCTGAATATTCAAGTGAAGCACACATTGCCTCACAAGTGCAGTCTGTCCAGTTGGCGTGACCAAACATAAGAAAAAGAAAAGAAAAAGAAAAGCGTAAATGAGGGCAGGCCTCGAAGGTACGTCGTTCGCATTGGTATTTACATGTTCCGTTTTCCCGATAACACTCTCTATCGCTAGCTTGTTGGCGATCAGCATTTCCTGAAGCAGCAATATAATTTTATATCGAGTTTATGGAAGTGACTTATCATTTCAGGTCCCCACAATTCACTGTTGCCTTGATATGAACGCACAGTGCTCATTCTTACCTGCAGCAACGGAAGTGCTGCACTGCTAGGCATGTCAGTGAAAGTCCGACATGGAAGTTGGGAGAGATAATTGTGCTGTGCGACAGAAAGAAGTACGATTTTTACGGGCACGCGTCGCTTGCACCCATTTTCCAGGTAGCGTGGGACTCCTGAATTTCGATGCCGTGTAGCAGTTAAGACAGTCTTGCTCATTATAGCCCACAGAAGGTAACATGGGAGCACCCGTATAGCCGCGATTTGCTTAGGAGAATCAGGGTTAAGTAAACTAGACGAGAAAGTGTATGATGATAATAAGGTAGATTTAGTTTAGTTATTTAGGTTCTTTAGGTTAAGTACTGGGAGGGTGGCGAGTGGTTTTTAAGGGGACGCCTCGTACAAGCATTAAGCGGGCACCCTTTTACAGACGCCTATTGCCGTCGGGCCGTGGTCCAGGCACGCTTAACAAGGCGGCGTTGCGCCGTCAGGTCAGAGAAGCCGAGCAGGGCTGCCTTTCAGTCTTCCCGGGAAGGATTGCGTGGAATGATGAGGTTGGGAGTTTTCTGACATGCCCACATCGTGTGGAAAATGTCAGAGGAATCTTCCTCGCAGTGCGGGCTCTTTGGTATCTGGGGTTTAACGTCTCAAAACCACCTTATGTATATGAGAGACGCCGTAGGGGAGGACTCCGGAAATTTTGATCACCTGGAGTTCTTTAATGTTACCTAAATCTGAGCACACGGCCCTACAACATTATCACCTCCATCGCGAAATTCAGCCGCCGCAGCCGGGATTTGATCCCACGACCTGCGGGTCAGCAGCCGAGTACCTTAACCACTATAGACCACCATCGCGGGGCACAGTGCGAGCACTTCTCCGTGCAAGTAAGGAAGCGTTTATGGAATGCCGGGCACAATAAAGTTTCGGTGGAAAGGCGAAAAAAGGTTTGCTACATTTTTATTGAAATGAAAAATAAACGAAGTAGTTGTCACCATTACTTGGCGATGGCTACACGTTTCAACTTGATTGTTCCAAATGAAGAATAAAAAAATAAGAACTTGTCATGTTTTTGGGGATGTAAAAACAGCGCTAAAACAAGACGAGTACTTAGTTCTTATTGCTTGTCTGTTTTTAAAACTGTTTTTTACCTCACAAGCTAGGGTTAAATGAATCTCGTTTCCAAGTTAAAGGAGACCTACTAACATCACCTCATTATGCGAGCTTTCATTATCTTAAACACGTTGGAAACCATTTAACTCCATCAGTATTGGATTTCATACTGTACAAAACAGATAAGGTGCCCAGGCTACCGAACCGTATACTCACTCGGGCTGTTCACTTCGAAAGGCCAGCTGCCATCGGGCGTGCCCCGGGCCGCCTTCGGCGTCGACAGGTCCTCCGACAGCGGTCCATTACGATGACGTACGTCGAAGAACTTCTTGTTTTTCTGCGCAAGAATTCGTCACCAAAATTAGTTTATCGTCAATATGCAGTCGTGAGATGTGACCGTATACGCACGCTCCACGCACACAAAAATGCGAGCTTGTGACATGAATTTGATCTGCACAGTACAGCACGTACAGTCGTCCCCAATATAAGTTACATCTTGTTGTCAGCTTAAAGTGAGGCCAACAGTGGGTGCAAAGCGGCGCCAGCACAATAAATTAGTGAAGTGTGCAGTGTATCTCTTGCTAGTATTTTAAACCATTTTAACGTTTACCAGTGTCCCTCTTAAGATTTTGGGTCCGTTGAAGATATTGCAACTGACATTGAGCGTAACTGTACACTCGTATAGCTTCAACAAAGAAAAACTAAAAAAAGTTTAGTCCACTGCACAAGGATATGTACTTAATGTACCCATGTATTACAAGCCGTTCAGTGCAGTGGTATGCACATACGGTTTTCGTGAAATGAGAATCTCAGCAGCACCAAAACGCATCATTTCGACTAAAACCGGAGGACAGCAGGTAATATTTTTATACTAGAATTCCGCCGCGACGTGTACGTAAACAAGCTTCGCTAGACAACAGCCCACAGAGATTATGAAACCAAGAACATAGAAGAATTATCAATGTAACGCATCAGCCTTTAGCAGCTCTTCATTCCCAGGAAGTACGAGTCAGAAATCGACATGTCTCTTTTCATCTCTGATTATCTTCCAGCAACAACTTCTTCCCTACGTTAAGAACGATAGAATCAAGTGCAGTGAATCGTGAGTGCCGTCTGCTATGTTGGTTATTTCCTCCCGTGTTTAAATAATCTTTGGGAAAACAGCACCGTGGAGCGTGCATCGAAGAAATGGTCAAAGCCGCACCACAGTGGTCTAGTAGCTAAGGTACTCACTCGGCTACCGACCCGCAGGTCGCAGGATCGAATCCCGGCTGCAGCAGCTGCAATTACGATAGAGGCGGAAATGTAGGCCCGTGTGCTCAGATTTGGTTGCACGCTAAAAAACCCCAGGAGGTTGAAATTTCCGGATCCCTACACTACGGCGTTTTCATAATCACATGGTAGTTTTGGGGACGTTAAACACCATATATCAATAAATGAAATGGTCAAGGGGATGCGCGTTATGCACAGCCAAGTGCTAATGTCTATGTCTCTGCGTTCCGCTGCGTTATCAGTCCCTGCGTGTTTTTATGAACACCATTACATCCACCTAAAAAGCGTGCGCATCGAGGAGACCGAGACATGCCCTTCAGTATGCTTTGTGCGCTTGCGCATCGTCGGCAAGTGTCCTTAACTTGAGACGCTAACATATCCTTAGCGCGGAGTATAGTTTTATTTTATAGCAAGCACTTTAGTGAATCTGTTGCGTTACGCGTGTGAGTGAACTTTTCTCATATGCTTGTTTTTTGTTCAAGTCGCGGTTCTACCACTTTTCAAATTAAGCTGCTGTAATTTTTCCCCTGAACATTTTGTTTTTGCATGTGTGTTTTCATGTGTTTTCCTTGCTGGGTACAAAAGTTTCGTATCTATTTGGCAATAAAGTTCACTTGATTTCACTGACATAGGGGGCGTAGAACCGGCGACATGGAATTCGTGCCTATCTGTTCCTTACCGTTTTCACAGATTGGCCCTGTGGACGTTTTCATGCCGCGCTGCATTTCGGCTTCAGCATGTGTGAGCGCCAATGTTTGTTTGCCATTGCAAACTGGCGGATTACCGTTTGCGTGGTGGTGGTATCAACAGACCAGCCCGGCACCCACCAATTTTGACTCCGTCCTACAAGATGACTGGCAACTTTGGGTCCTGGCCAACGGTGATGGAGCCGTTCAGCTGAAGAAAAGCCACGGAGTGGCACTGCCTCAATGGGGCGTGGAACCAACGACATGGCATTCGAGTTTATCTGTTCCTTACTGCTTTCACAGGTTAGTCATTGGAACTTTTACTCGATGAATGCTTGTATTATTTTGTTGGTCCCACCCCAAACTCTCTTTTTGTGTGTGTTTTTGCGACAGTGTTCTTCAGTGAAGACGCGTAGGTGTAAAGCGAAATGCCAATTTGTGAATGGGAAGAGTGCCGCTATCTATTTTCTTGTTCTTCTATTGTGCGTTGGTGACGTAGAGTTGAATCCAGGGCCCAATATTGCACAGCCTAATTGCCTGTTAGAGGGTGAAAGTTCAATGATGAAAAACGTTGACGTCAATGAAGAACAAAATCTCAGCCGAAAGCGAAGAACTAAAGGTCCGTATTGTGTCACTAGAAGAGAAAAATCTCGAGAGTGGACGACATTCGCTCAGCCCTGGCTAACGTTGAGGCCCAGCAGCATCGGGATCAGACAACTATGGCGGGTTTAAGTTTCAAAATCAACGATCTTGAGAATCGTCAAAGGCGGGACAATTTAATTTTTTATGGCCTAGCTGATACGCGTGTGGGTGAGAACGCGAGCAAACTTGTGTTGAATTTATGCGCAACAAAACTTGATCACAGTGCAGTTGTACTTGAACGTGCCCATACGATCAGCACCTATCGAGCAGATAAAACACGTTCAATCATCGCCAAATTTTCTTCTTATAACGAACGTCAGTAAGTACTAACAAATGCGCGTAAGTCAAAAGGCACAAACTTTAGCATTTCGGGGGATTTTTCTCGTGTTGTGATATATAAAAAAATCGTTTGAGGAACTTTGCAAAGCAGAATAGGCAAGACGGAAACAAAGCAGTGCTACAGCTTGACACCTCGTACAAGGCCAACAAACGTTATCAAGTTGATAGCACGACCAACGAAGTAAAACAGATGTGACCGCCACTAGATGCTGCGATTAAGGAAGACCTCGGTGTTTTTGTGATAAACAGCAGAAGCACCAGAATAAAATTGATCCTTTTATTCTCCTGCCTGCCCCAATGGTCTAGTGGCTAAGGTACTCGGCTGCTGACCCGCAGGTTGCAGGGTCGAATCCCGGCTGCGGCGGCTGCATTTCCGATCGAGGCGTAATGTAGGCACGTGTGCTCAGATTTGGGTGCACGTTAAAGAACCCCAAGTGGTCGAAATTTTCCGAGTCCTCCACCACGGCGTCTCTCATAATCATATGGTGGTTTTGGGGCGTTAAATCTCCCACATCAATCAATCGATCTTTCATCTCCTTGTAACATTAGCTGAACCAACGCTAGTTATTGGTACCGAGTCGTGGCTTGAGACACGATGGTCTTGAATTCTGAAGTTTTCCCAGCTGGATATTATTGTTTCAGGCGTGATCGACGAGCAAAAGGGGGAGGGGTATTTTTTCTTCTTAATTCAACCTTGTCGTGTGTGCCATTAGAATGTCCCGCAGCCGGCTGTGAGACTTTTTTTTTTCAAAGTAAGACTGCGTAATTAAAAAAGCTTACTAGTAGTTATTGGATCATACTACCAGCGTCCTGGATCGTCGCACGACCACTTTTTTTTCAACTGTCCGCAATTTTTTATACGCTTGACAATGATACTATCATAATAGGGGGCGGGGGAATTTAAATCTTCCAGATATAGACTGGTCGAGCGGTGATCCTTCCGCATCTGTCACTGGCTCTATGCATTCAGCGTTTTTTGTTTTTTTTTTGCTCTTGTCAGCAATTTTGCGTTTGAGCAATACAATTATGATGCAACACGTGATGACGGCGCGGGAAACACACTTGACTTGCTTTTATGTAATTTTTCTGGTATTATAACAACCGTCAACACACTGCCTGGTTTAAATGACCTTCATGTTTTCATTGCTAAAGTCAACGTTCAAAATGTGTCAGTACCAAAAAACAACCCAGAAAAATTTACATGTATCAAAGGGCTGACTTTGCGGCTATAATTTCAGCATTTGAGTCATATTTTCCCGCTTTTGATGCGTTAGTTGATGAATCCACATGTGAACACTTGTGGAAGCTGTCCCAACACAAGCTACATTAGTTGCGTGATGCTTTTGTCCCTACTCGTGTTATTTATTCTAGACGATCAAAAGACTAACCCCGGTTTGATTATCAGCTGCGCACATTACTGCGAAAACTCAAGCCAGTTTATTTGAAGTATAAGAAAAGGCAATCCCGGGATGCTTGGTTGGAGTTGAGACATTTAAAGGTCAGCTTTCAACGTTTAGCTGAGAAGACTAAACATACTTACTTTGTAAATCTTGGCGAAAAGCTTGTGGAAACCCCAAAAAACTCTGGAAGTTTGTTAGGTCTAACGTAAAGATAACACTTTCATTTCTCCCTTAAAGAACTCGGAAAATATAGTTCACGATGATAAAGATTAAGTGAAACTATTTCGTCATTCTTTCTCATCAGTGTTTGATCCAAAACTTTCTCGAATCGTTAACGTGACGTGTCAGACTGACATTAACCTAATGCCTGGGGTTGTGATGGTGTAGATGGTTTGCTTGAGTTATTACGCAAAATGAAGCCGTCCACTGCGTGTGGTCCGGATGATGTTTCGGCAGCTATTCCTAAAATTGTCTTGGTATATTGTGCTTTTACTTTTCTCATTTATTTCGAAATTGTTTATCTGAGGCTTCATTACCACACGAGTGGAAGCTGGCACGTGTTGTACCGATTCACAAAGGTGGATCGAGAAATGCCGTTGAGGACTACAGGCCAGTGTACTTGACAAGTATAGCATGTAAACTAATGAAACAAGTAATTTATACTTCGATTATGTCACATTTAGTGAAGCACAACCTTCTAAGTTCTTGTCTGCATGGTTTTCGTCAAGGTTTTTCATGCTCCACTCAACTAGTTGAATTTTTTTACGATCTGGCTTCAGCGATAGATAACACGCAAATATTATACGGCATATCCCTCGATTGTAGAAAGGCATTTGATGTGGTTTCACACGATTTTCTCATCTCAAAACTACAATAATACAAGTTACTTGATAGTGTTGTCGCATGGGTTGCCCAGTATATTCGTGCAAGGCGGCAGTCTGTGGTGCTCGATGGTTTTTAATCTGCACATGCTCCAGTAACTTCGAGTGTTCAGCAGG